TTTTTTTTTTTTTTTTGTTGCGTCGAAATCTTTGATCGAGATTATTTTTACAGGAGAGAAAATTTAACACACGAAATAAGAATTTCTTTGTACTCGATGTACTTCAAAGAGTTAGCGAACCCTTTGACGAGTTGAATTTCGTCAAGTTTCGCAGATCTATTGCTTCCTCGTACCATTGAATTTGGTTTGATGTTACGAAAAGGTTTCCTTCTTCGTACGAAGAAACATTCTTTGTAATTTGACGTTACATTACTCTAAGAATACATATTTATATACAGGGTGTTCAACGAAAAAGCATTCATTATTTATATGGTATATAGGGCTCACTTTGTTGTATAAAAAAGTTCTTGTAAACATAGATCGAAAGGTCAACCATTTCCGAGATATTAGGACCTTGAATAAGTTCTCGCTATTTTTTACAAAATAAAAACTTTATTTAAAATGTAAGGAAAAAAAAGACGTTTTATTGAAAGTATTGCTTATCACTAGAGACCACTTTCTCCCATCTTTCTGGCAGTATATGAATTCCGCGTTGGAAAAACGATATGTCTTTTAAGGCTATCCAAGAATCGACCCATTTTTTGGTTCTTCGTAAGAATGAAAACGCTGGCCAGCTAAGCCATGTTCCATCGAACGAAATAGGTGAAAATCGGAAGGGGCTATGTCAGGTGAATACGGCAGGTGGGGTAGAACTGACCATCGAAGCGTTTCCAGGTAGGTTTTCACTGGTTTTGCAACATGAGGCCGGGCGTTGTCATGTAACAAAATCACTTTGTCGTGTCTCTTCTCGTATAGCGGCCGTTTTTCTTTTAGGGCTCGACTCAAACGCATCAATTGAAGTCGATAGCGATCTCCCGTGATAGTCTCATTCGGTTTGAGCAGCTCATAATAAATTGCACCCTGCTGATCCCACCAAATACAGAGAAGAAGCTTCGAACCATGGATATTTGGTTTTGTGGACCATGTTGATGCATGGCCAGGCTTACCTCATGATTTTCTATGCTTTGGATTATCACAGTGTATCCATTTTTCATCGCCAGTCACGATACGGTGCAAAAAACCTTTTCTTTTCTGCCGTTGAAGCAGTAATTCACACGTGACAAAACGCCGTACGATGTCTCTTGGCTTCAATTCATATGGCACCCAATGTCCTTGCTTCTGGATCATTCCTAACATTTTTACACGTTTTGAAACAGTTGACTCATCAACTTGTAATGTTTTTCCAAGTTCTGCTAGCGTCCGAGATCGGTCTTCATCGAGTAATTCCTCCAATTCACTGTCTTGAAATTTTTTTGGTGCGCCAGAACGTTTTTTATCCTCAAGTTCAAAATCATTATTTTTGAAGCGTCGAAACCAGTCTCTGCATGTCGTATCTGACAGAGCATTGTCACCATAAGTCTGAACAAGAATTCTATGTGCTTCAGCTGCCGATTTCTTTTGAATAAAATAGTGCAATAAAATTCCCCGCAAATACACTTTAGTTGGCACAAAAGTAGACATTTTCAAAACTTATAAAAAATTACTGTGTTTACACTAAAGTGAACTATCATACACTGAAATTTCAGGTTACATACAGTACTTCCTTGCAAGTGCGTTACCAATTTCAAGCACGGAGTACTGCTATTGCCATCTTTGATGAAACAGCGAGAACTTATTCAGGGTCCTAATATAAACATTTTTGTTTACTAGTATCATGATTGACTTACTTGCTTCCGTCGCATGCGTTATTTACTTCAGTGTTTTTAAATCGCGTTCTGAGGTTAGTCGTGGATCAGCAATTGTAGCTGTTAGATAGTTACAAAGATTCATTAAAATGTCGGAATATTATTCAAACGAAGAAATGGCAGACACCCATTTTATGTATGGTCGTACCAATGGAAGTGCTTTAGTGGCAAAACGTCTTTCTCTAATCGAAGGGTTCCCTCTCATACACTCTTTCAAAAACTTCACCAACGACTTTGTGAATCCGGTTCATTTAAATCTTGCTATCGATGTGGTACATGCATGATGGAGCATCAGCTCATTTTTTACGTAATGTGAGAGAGCATTTAAACACGGTGTTCGGTCAAAGGTGGATTGGACATAGTGAACTAGTTGCATGGCTTTCTCGATCCCCCGATTTAAACCCTTTGGACTTTTTTTATGGGTTATTTTTAAATAACCCCATAAAACTTTAGCTTTTTAAAGCCAAGTGTATTCCTTGCCAATAAACAACGTAGAAAAATTACGTAAGCGAATCCATCATACTTGTCAAGTAATTCTACAAAAATGGGAAATTTTCGAGAGAGTTTGCAACTCTTTAAAAAGAAGATGCCAAACGTGTGTAGAAATGGATGGTGGACAAGTAGAAAATCTTCTGTAAATAACGGCAATTCGGTAGAAAGTCAATCATAATAATAACAAATAAAAACGTTTATATCTCAGAAACGGTTGACCTTTCGACCAATGTTTACTTGAACTTTTTACTCGACATAGTGTGCCCTTATCTATCATATAAATATTGAACGCATTTTTTTTAACACCATGTATATATATTAGGGTGGGTCAAAAAATAAATTATTTTTTTGTTTACAAGTGCCACGGAAAAATGGGTTGCTAGACACCTTAAAACAATTCTCACCAAATATGAGCTCTT